CAAAGCAACTGTGAAAACATCTCCTGGGGCTCTCCCTCCTACAGGGGGAGCGCTTGGATGAACACTGACTCTTTAAGCTTTGACTGTTTTTTGTCCTTGCAGAGAAACGTCAAGAAGGCTACAAGGCAGCATCAAGTGAGTGATTTGTCCTCTTTACATTTTAGCTCCAATTCAAAGCGGGGATCAGAGGTAGAATCAGTTGAAGGGTTTGTCTGTGTGTGTTTGTGTGTGTCCAAACACAAAAGCAGCTCATGAACCTGAAATGTTTGTGCTATCTTCCTCTTCTTTCCAAGAATTAAGTCGGGGGAGGTGCGTCCCCTTTTCTTTACAGCAAGGCTGTCCCTGGGAGTGGAGACCACAAGGAGAAACATCTGGTATAAGGAACCCTCAAGAAGGTGGGTGGAAGATCCATCTGATGGAGAAGCTGTTCTGTTTTCCAAGCCTGTGGAAAGGAAAGGCTTGGCCATAATCTGGTCAGGAAGCTCCATAAAAGTAGTGAACAAAGAAGGGATTTAGGAGAAAAGGAACTTGGTAGATGCCAGCTGGATCTCCTCTTGGTCTGCCACCACAAGGCCCTTAAAGTATGAACTGACTGGAGAAAGAAACTTTGGAGCCATCCGTATCCTTACTTCAGCTGCACCCTGTGGCTGTAGAGTTGCTGAAATATTGCTCTGTGTGGATATATGTATATATGTATATATGTATATATGTATGTATGTTAAGAATTCTTTCCTATGTCTCTTAGTTAAAGCAGTTTGGTTGAAACTCTGTGGGTGTATTTGTGCATCTGTGTGTGAAGGGGAGAGGCTGCTGGAGTCAGAAAGAGTGGAGTTTCTCCACCTCTTCCCATCCTGCCAAGGGACTGACCTCCCCACCTTCTTTTCTTTCTTTTCCAGCAAGTGACAAAAGATCTGATAGTAGCCTTGATTATTCTGCATTTGTGTCCTGCATTTTGATTCCACAGTAGGAGCACCTCCTGGATGAGGAAGAGCAATTCTGCCTCTTAGCAAGAGTGCTGGAGGTTGGGGGGGTGAAAAGAGGGAGAGCCCCCACCCCCGTTTTTAAAGGGCCCCCTAATGCACACTCCATGTGTTCCCTCTGCATCTGGCTCTGGTGAAACCAGTATTTATTGGGACAGAACTGGAACAAAGGATACATACTTCTATTGAGATTTAAATTGATATTGTTGCCTTTTCTATGGACGCTTTTTTACACAGTGTAATATCTTCAAGGTGGATGAGAGAATTATGTTTTTTCTCCTGTTTACTTAGATGGCAAGTTGTTCTTGAACAATTAAAATTACTTTGCATCAGTATATGAACAGAAAGTATCAGACTGGAAAAGTGGTTTCTCATTAAAGGGGGGCTTAAGTGAAATTACTTATTTTTTCTCTTGTCCAAGGAGTTACCAGTCTCTTTTTTCTTTCAGTTTTAATAATGTTTCTCTTTTTTCCCTTGTTCCTGCTTTTACTCTGTACGGAATTAAGCGCTTCACTTTTCTCCCACCTCCTCTCTTTTCCTAGATTTCTAACAGTTACAAAATTCACTTTTCTCCCACTTCTTTGTTCCTGCAGAAGAGAAAGGGAAATTCTCTCCCTGTTGGACTTCCAGCCTCATTCATTCAGGCAGGGAAGGCAGCTCCAGAGCCTGCATGGTGGAGCCTGGCCCCCTTTGGAGGAAAGAGCCCCTCGGCTCTGGGGTGGGAAATAGAGAAACCACCCAAAATGTCATGAGCCCCGGTTGTTAGCGAATGTTCTGGTTGCACAGCCTGGTCCCCTCTGAGAGGTTCATGGAGCGGAAGAGAGAGATTCCTCTTCCTCAGAGGATCTGGACTAGGGAGAGACTCACTCTTTGTCTTTCTTCCCAATGTAGGGAGCGTCAAGGTCATTTAGCAGCCCCCTTGCAGGTGAGTGTACCCAGTGGGGGCTGTATTGAGGGGAAGGAGGAAGGATGGTGAGGGCTTTCATGTCAAAGGACTGATTGATGGTGAAGATCCTTTGGGAAAACCCTCTTCTGTCTCAGCTCATCTCAAATGCTGAAGGGTGAGGAGTTTGGGGGAGAGGTGGTGGGGCTGTGGGGAGGGGTCTGCCTCTCCCCCTCCTCCCTGGGTTCCTTCTGGTGGAAGGAACTGGGCTGCTTCCACTTTCCCTCCTGCCTTCAGAGGAAATGGCAGGTGACCGTAGCTAGGAACAGAAGGGGCCTGAGCACTCCCTGTTGCTGAGGGAGGAAGGCACCCTCCCCCTCCTCCTCCTCCTCGTCTCCGGGAAGGGCCCTTCCCAAATCAGGAGGTGGTGTTAGTCTTGCATGGACAAAGCTCAAAGACCTGCAGAGCTCAGAGTGTCCCCAGTGCAAGGGGGAGGGGGCAGCAGGGGGGCTTCCTGAATCTCCTACAGTCATGGATGGAGAGGAGGCTTCTCTCTCCTCCTTGCGTCCATCTGGGAATCAAACCCTCCAGATGCTGACAGAAGACCTGAACTCTCTGGAGGCCATGAAACCATTTCCACTTGGCTCTGGGAGAAAAATAATTTGGGTGGGAACTGGGTTTGCATATTTGAGGGGGAGGACATCTGTACTTTTTATAATTTGTGAAGGAAGTTCCCCACGCCACTCCAGCAGCCATTCACAGCCCTGCCCATCCCCTCTTATAACTCGGAAATCCCACCCAACTGATTCCTCTCCATCTCCCTCCCTCGAGGACTTTCTGGTCCTTCGCTTGATGATCCTCCAGCCTGTACTCTGGGCCTTCTCATCTGGGCTTTCTCTGCAACAAACCCTCCTTTTTTTTCCACCCTCTTTGTAGATGCAACTTTGGGGCTACAGACTCCCCATGTCGGGAGAGAGAAAAGAAGAGTGATCAACCTTCTGCTGAATTATGCTGTTGTCTTAAGAGGACCTCTTCAGGCCCTTCCAGCTGGCTGTAACTAGGATGTATTTCTGGTCCTTCGAGTGCCCTTGTTCAGATTTTTGTTTGGGAAAATCAGGGTTTTTTCATCTGAAGGAGGAATTCTAGGACCTCCCCTGAAAAGGAAACGTGGTTGATTCATCTGGAGAATGAAAGAAGGTTTTATTTTTATATGTGAAGTAAATGTCTTGCAAGAAAATCCACCTTGGAAGGGGCATTCTGTTCATTGATCGGAAGGGAAAATGCCTCTTTCAGCTGCTGTTTCTGAAGTGTGCTTTGAGATTTCTTCCATAAAAAATAATTAATTTAAAAAAAATTAATCTGTAGCCCAATTAGTTGGATTATATATTTGATTATGCAAAAGTTTAACAAATAACCAATATGCCAGCTGAGGGCAGCCTTCAGACACAGAAAATGGTACACCTTTTCTAGACTTCAGGTAATGGATTTAGAAAAATGGAAGATGAGATCAGCTGTCCAGCCAGGCTGCTCCCTTCCTAAGTGCTGCAGTTTCCTTGAGAT